CGGCGGTGCTCCCGCCCGAGGGTTCGGATCCCACATACAGACCGGTTCCCGCTCACTGGCTGAGCGAGGCGCGGGAGCAACACCAAGGGTTGCGGTCCCGTTGCCGGTCCCGGTCCGGTGCGGGGGCGACACTGAGGGTTGCGATCCGTTGCCGGACACGGAAAAAGACAAAAAAACAAAACAAAACAAACAAACAAACAAAAAAACACTTCTTTTCAAGGATTAATCCCCCTCACCCCCAGCATTATATTGTGAAAATTTTTGAATCTATCGACAAGTTGTAAAAATAAGTCTTTAATGTGTTAATTATCCTCATTCTTAGGTGCATTTTATCTGGTGTTTGAATATATGGACCATGATTTGATGGGACTACTGGAATCAGGCTTGGTTCATTTTAATGAAAATCACATAAAGTCATTTATGAGACAGCTCATGGAAGGTCTGGATTATTGTCACAAGAAGAACTTCTTGCATAGAGATATTAAATGTTCGAATATCCTTCTGAATAATAGGTATGGATATGAGCCCGATACATATGTTTAAAATGAGTGTTACATAATGTATACCTTGATTCTGTTAAAAGGATTTAGGATTTAGTTTACTCCATACAAACTATTTTAACAAAACAATATTATAGCTTGGGCTGTCTCTAAATTTGTATTAAATGTAGATTGACTCCCAATAATAGTTTGTAATGTACATAAAATACTTAGTTGAATTTATTGCTTGATATTCTTTCAAATAATGTCAATGAATCTTCTGATAATTAGTACTATGATTTCAGTTTTATATTAAGAATAGATTTTAGAATTTTTTTAAAAAACAGTCATCACAGTTTTAAAGTGAACTTTTTAAAAGTGTATGTACACACATACATACATAAAAGGGTACTTCAAAAGTTCATGGAAATATTTGTATTATCTTTTAATTCTGTTCTTCCACAAACTTTTTGAAATAACTTTGCACATATTTAAAGCTTATGTTAAGTATTTTAGTAACAGCATAATCTGAACTCTGATATTACTCTTGCAATTGGTACTATTTATTAGTTTAAATGAAGCAGGCCTGGTGCTGATTTTAATTAGTAGGAAGTGTTCTATGCACCTATCCCCTCTAAGAATGGTAAAATTAAACATAAAGTGCTGTGACTTAGTTCTTGAGCACTGTTGACTGTAATTGAACAAGTAATTTGTCTTACTTTATACTAGAAATTATCTCATTTTGTTTTATTTTCATCGAAGTGTACTTTTCTAAATAAGAACTGCATAGTATTGAAATACTATTATACTAGTACTATTTATAATAATAGTAATTATAATAATACTATAATAATAATACTAAACGAAACTATCCAAAGCAAAATATTGATGTACCTTATCTGGTGAATTTATGTACCACTTGCTCTGTAGGACCGTGGTGGTACTTCATGCAGTGTTAGCAAAGTTAAAATTTATATAAGTGTATTTTTTATTAGTTCTAGGAATAGAATGAATGTGTATTATCAATTAAGAGTAGACTAATATCTTTTATTCATTTTGTCTTTATTTCCACCAGAGGGCAGATAAAACTTGCGGATTTTGGACTTGCTCGATTATATAGCTCAGAAGAAAGGTAAGGGTACTATTAAATGAATATTGTAGTCATTAGAGTCCAGTATTAGAAACTATACTAAGGATACCTTATTGATAGTTTTTTTTTTTAAGGGAAATTTAATTTACACTACTGGATACTCAAAATAATGAAATTTTATACCATATTGGGTTGACTTTTAATTGCAAAATTTTATATATTTATCTCAATTTCGAAATAATTGATTTTTAACACATATAGGTAAATATTATTTCTTTTTAAAATGTGCAGCTTTAAGTGTGACCAAAATGAACTTATGAATTTTTTAAATTCAAACTTAAATTTCCAATCCAGATCCAGACATTAAGGTGTTCTTAAGTTTTATGTTTTGTGAAAAACCTTAGGATATGCTTTTTAAATTGCATGTTTAAACTTATATTGTTTTAACTATTGTTTTAGACTTTAGGTTTTTTGGTCTACTGTTGTTGCCTTTTTTCTTTCTCTCTTTTTTTTTTCCTTCTTCCTTTTAACTCCGTAGAACTTCTCAGTCTAAAGTTGAGGTGTGTAGATACACTTAGCTCATTTGTGTCTGGAGGTAGTAAAACATGACTTGTTTATTAGAACTAATATGGAATTTCAAAATAAAATACTGTTGTGAAGTAGTGGATTTTATGTAAAAAAGCGAAACAAAAGAAAACAAAAAAGCTATGGAATTAATTGGATTTAATAAATTTGTAGTCAGTTTTACCCATTTTTTCCCTGCCTTTATTTTCAGGTTTATATATAAACGTGTGTGTGTGTGTGTGTGTGTGTGTGTGTGTGTGTGTGTGTGTTTGTATTATAGTTTTAAAATTTGGTATGGCAATTCTGTCATTTTTTAGTATTGCCATACTTTAATATACTGAAACATCAATTGATTAGAATTCTTAGAAATAGATGTTCACTTTCAGTGAATTTTTGCCAGTTTTTGGTTAGTTGAAATAAATAAAATCTCTTTTTTGTTTGAATTTTTCAGAGTAAAAAGTCTGTTTTTTAAATCTTGCAGTGCCCATGACAGCATTTTTTAAAAAGTTTATTATTTTTTTGTCATGTACTAATTGTACATATTTATAGGGTACAGAGTGATATTTTGATACATGTATAAACTGATGATCAAATCAAGCTAATTAGCATACATTAACATAAACATTTGTCATTTCTTTGTGATGAGAACATTTGAACTTCTCTCTTCTGTCCATTTGAAAATATACAATAAATTATTAAGTATAGACAACTAGCACTACTATGAAATACTAGAACATATTCTTCCTAACTAGATAAGATTCTGTATCCATTAACTAACTCTCCCCGCCCCCCGTCCCAGCTTCTTGTAACCGCAATTGTACTCTCTCTCTACTTCTGTGAGCTCACTTTTGTTTTATCTTCCACGTATCAGTGAGAAAGTGTGGTATTTATCTTCTAATACCTGATTTATTTCAGTTAACATAATATCTTCCAGGCTCATCCATGTTGCCTAGAATAACATGATTTTATTCTTTTTTAATGGCTAAGTAGTGTTTCATTGTGTACATATGCCACGTTTTCTTTATCATTCATCTGTTGATTGACGCTTAGGTTGATTCCGTATCTTTGCTAATGTGAAGGGCTGAATGACTTTATCAGCACCACACTCTCCCGAGTGAGCCACGGGCCGGCCCATGAATGACTTTAAAGTTCAAAAAATGTTGGCAGAGCCAAGGGTATATCAAGGTTTTTGACTCCCAATTTTTTACTCTTTCCATCATACACATATTGTATAATAGTGCCTCATTGTAGTAGTTGAGAAATCGGTTTAAATTATACCTACTCCAGAACTTCACTTGAAGTATATTGTTTGAATGACTAAATCTCTGTGGCTATTTTTTGGGGGGGAAATTCTGGTTACTTTAAGGATTCTACCTGCTTTCACTGAAGTTATATTATTCGTAAGACAAATATGTGTCTGTCATATTTGAATATAAATTCCTTATGTTCTTAATAGGTTTCAGTGAAGATGGAAAACTGCTAATTTCCATTTTCATCTAATAGATTTTTTTTTAATGCAGATATTCGTGCACATTTGGAATAGAAATGTTTTAGAAAAATAAATATGTTTTAGATATGACTGTAAAGCCAGATTTTATATGTCAAACTCTATTTTTCTGTTGATTTTTATTTTCAAATGTAATGTTGGGTTCCAGTGGAGTGCCAGGGGTGTGGTGTGTTCACTGGGTCATGGTCCCTGTTGCCCTGCCAGATTGATATGGGAATTTTGAGTTTAGAGGCAGGAAGTTTAAAATTCCATAGCTTGCATCATTAGGTAATGTATACTGAATTTTTCTGCTGAATCAAATTTATAATTTATAAGAGAAAAACTTGGCATGTCATTTTGTTTTATAAGCAAATATCCTATCCTTAAGGGGTTTATATATTCCTTTAAAACTCCTCTTTTTTAGATTAGAATAATTCTAATTTCTTTTAAATCAATTGGAGAAATAGGCTTAATGTAATGGAATTCCTTTAAAATACATATATTATTTTAATGAATTTCAGTAATATACTCATTTTTAAAAATCTTCCTTTAGGGGATTTATTATTTTGTCCCAAATTTTCTTGAAATAAATATACTGTAAATGATTTTTCATTCATATTTCTTAGTGGCTTAATGTAATGGAATTCCTTTAAAATACATATATTGTTTTAATGAATTTCAGTAATATACTCATTTTTAAAAATCTTCCTTTAGGGGATTTATTAGTTTGTCCCAAATTTTCTTGAAATAAATATACTGTAAATGATTTTTCATTCATATTTCTTAGTATAAGCAGAAGGCAAGGTGTAAGGCTTTACTGAAATATACCCTTGCAAATAAGTCATTTTGAAGTAATTTGTAAGTAATTAGCTACTACAGATAGAATAACTGAAGTGTTCGAGGATTTAGCATAAGGTTTTTTTTATTTCAAAATAGAATAGATTTTAGCTTAACACTGTAATGGCATCAACCATAACTCTCTCACTTGTTTGATTTTGGATGTGCTTTTTTTGTTGTTGTTGAGGAAGACAGGGTGGAGTTACAGCTAGTACTTGAGGGTCTGTGACCAATATGGATCTTCTCTATCATGGGTGCTATAATAGAAGAAAGGAGGAGAACTGCTGGATTATAATTAGGTCTGTGTGTGTGTGGGGGGGTGACCTCTTTAACTTGTAGAACCATTTTCTCGTTTTGAACGTCAATATTCATACTTTGTCCCATTCAGCATTGGGAACTGTAGAACTTGAGAACAGAGGTATTTACTTGTTCCTATACCTATTTTAAGCACAACTCTGAGTTTTTATTTTACCAAGTCATTGCTCCAGTGCTTTTCAAAAGGACAGCATATCTTTGTCTTTGTGTGACTGTCCCATATGAAAAAAAAAATGTTTTCCACATTAGTTAAAACTAACTTAATTTTCTATAGAAGAAACTATAACTTAGCTCATTTACTTTTTTAATGCAAGGAACATAAAACCCATAGTCTTAAATCAGGAAGCTTTGGTTCTTGTCCTGGCCTTGCTATTTAACCAGTTTTGGAATCTTGGTCAAGTCACTTAATATCTCTGGGCCTCATTATTCTCAAATTGAAGATTAAAGTTTTAAAATCTCCCAAATCCTTATTTATAAGGTATTGAAAAAACATATCTTTCATGGTTTAATAACTACTGTGATCGAAATAAAAATTTTTAAAAAATAATGTCCAGCAAGCCTACTGCATTTCTGTATAATGATTCAATAACAAGGAGAGAGAAGTGGAAAATGCACGTTTACTGCCACCTTCCCAAAACACACTGTTTAAAAGGCAATATCGCCACCTAGTGGCTTTTCAGAAAATTGCCATTAAAAGCAAAATGAAATTTTCCCAAAGCTATAGGTATTAATGGGTGAGGAAGACAGTATTACCTCTTGCTACTTCTCCAAGGACTAGATGAAATTATTCAGCATTAAAATTGTTTCCTTAACTCTTGTCATTATTACTTGTGTCCTTTACTTGTCACTCAATCTAGAATTGTAGTTATTTTAGAGACAAGGACCATATTTTGTATTTGTGTTTTCTATGCCCTGAAACATCAAATGCATTCATGGTAAATGCTTGATTAATTCTGATCTGAGAGAATGTGATACTGATCTGGAAGACCGTCCTGATATAGATCAGTGCAGGACCTTTTGGGATTTCAGGTAATACAAAGAGTCTTCTGGAAAGCCCTGGACAAGATTAGAACTGTGGTAATATAAAGATTACTAACAGCATGTGAATAATAATAAATAATGCCTAAACCTTCAGCAGTAGAAATTGCACTTAGATCACTGATTTAACTTTAAGATTAAGATTAAATTTTACTTCCTTCAGCACTGATGGGAGCATATAAAGTGGAAAAGGCAACTTAATTATTTAGGATACAGTCTTCCCCCCTCCTGGTGTTGGGGAAATCTCACCCATGTACTTAAACACACAAATCTAAATTTTAAGCCTTGATCTTTCTTCTGATTTCCAGACATGTGTGCCTACTGGACATCTCCACCTAGATGATCTGGGTACCTTAAATTAAACCTTATTACAAAACCTATCTCCTTCTCCAGAAAAAAAGCCTGCTCCTTTTCCTTTATTCCCTATTTTAGTTAAATGTATTCAGTCACTCTCACATACATCCACTGTAAGTAGAATTTTATTGGTTTTCCTGCCTCTGGTCTTTCTCCCTAATTTTCTTCTTTTCTGCCATTTTTATCCACTGCCATCCCCAGCCCTATAGATAATAGTAGAGTTGAACTATTTACAGTTCCCTAAATATGCTGTAGTCTTGCATGCCTTTGTGAATCTACATAAGCTGTTTTATTTTTTATGGACTTATATCTCATTACCTCAGTTTAACAAATTTGGTTTTTTTTCCCCTTCACTGTGCAGTTCAGGCATTACCTCCTTTGAAATTTGCCCCTAGTCCCACTGACCTCTGGATGCATTTCCCTTTATGGGTTGAATGCATTGTTCATT